ACCCTAAACAGATGAAGAGATGCCCTTGTTCACAGATAAATCCGTCAAGTTTTCAGGTGTTTCCTCAAATATTAATAATTCTGCTCAGGCAAGGAAACATTTACTCCTAAGAACAGAGATAACCTGCACAGGCCTGGGGCTCTGCTGGCTTCACCTCCTGCATCCCATTGCTGTCACTGCATCGTGCTGCCACGGCTCTGCAGACCCTCTCACTGAACTCACCCAAAAACTACCAATGTCCTCCTGCTTGCAACTTGATGGGCCCAGCCTTGAGAGCCTCATCTCTCACATGAAGCCAGGACAAAGCATGCCATTCACTGGCAAAATATGCCATTCACAGTGACCACAAATTGTCTCAGTTCTCTGCGGAGAAAAATAACTAATCGTGGTGTTTTCTGTGACTTTCTCACACCTGTTTTCCAAGGAAAGATAGAACATGAGGCCTTCTGTGGCTGAGACTTGCTCTAAGCTACAACAACATACAGTTGAGGTGCCAACTTCAGTCGTGGTGCCAACTTCAGTTGTGTTTCAAGGCAGCTGGACTTTTCAAGCTCCTCACTCAGGAAATCTGAACACTTCTGGGGGTAGCTGTGAAAATTTAACTGATTTCCACAGATCCAGCCTATGGAGTTCTTCACCAGTACACGGATAAACAGGACTTACTGCAGCAAATCCAGCAGATATCTAATTAGTAAATGGACATTCACATTGTTTGCAGTAGCATTTGGATGAAGCCTCTGATTTGTCTCTGAGTGGTCAAAGTTGGGGTGGTGGACACATCCCCACATGGTGAAATATCAGTGTAAGAAATGGGTATGCACAAGGCAAACATGTGGAATCAGAATGTGTACTATTTCCAAGGTCTTGTGCTGTTTCACTGGCACAAAGTCTGCTGTTTACTCTTTGCCTGTTGCTATGCATGAGAGCCGAGTATTTATTAGAACAAATTATTGGAAATGAAGAGAAGCCAAACAGGAAATCAATAAAGACTCGTTTATGCGAAAAAAAAAAAAAGTTTATCCTCACTTCTGATAAATAGCCAGGCAGGCAAAGCTGAAAGATCTTCATGTCAAATGAATATTCAAGGCACCGAAAAATAAATTTTGGTGAATTACAGCAGGTTCACTTAAAAAGATGCTAAATGTAGTTTCATTTTTTGTGCCTACGGAGCATGAAAAAGTTTATACACAATGAAATCACTAGATGAAAATACAACATGTATGTGACTTAAACTTATTAATGTGCCTTCTATCAGTTTGCCCAATTCACATAAAACAATCACTGTAATTACTCCTTCCTTGGAATAAAAGGACTCAATTTCTAGTAGTTTTTAATACTTAATTTCTCACATTTGTCTTATTAAAAGAGCTCAGTTGTTCTTAACTATACCACACTGATGTCATGGCAAGTATCTATCAGGAAATCTCTTTTCCTCAGCTCTGTTTAGCCCACAAGATTAATAAAGGCAGACCACACAGACATCCTCCACCCATTTCATGGCACTCTAAAAAACCTCTTACCACAAGACACCCTCCAGTTATCTCCTTTTCTTCCTCTCCTATTACTTTTTCTCCATTTTTGAGCATCATCTATCATCATCTTCATGGAGCTCTCAGCTCACACATGTTGATTTTTTTCCTATGACTTTCTGTGGTAAGGTCATTCTCCTCCTCTTATAGGTGGGCACAATGGAGCAGGTTGTAGTACTCAGTGTGAAGATGAGGAAAAGTGTAGGCAGCTGTGGTCCTCTTCCAGAATGTAGGAGAAAGAGGATGACAAACATTAAGATAAACAGAGAATTAGGAAATAAATCAATATGGACATGTGGGGAAATTAATGCTTTGGGTACCTTCAGGGCCCCAAAAGCATAAATTATATAATCAGTATTAATAGCTGTTATAACATCATTGTATGTTATTCATGTTGCTGCTGTGTTTTTCTTCACAAGATGGCAACCACAGAAACCAGAAATCAAACCAAAAAAAAGATATAAGTGACAGAAGCATGGTGATATGGCACAGAATGATACTCTGAATTTATTATCTATGACTACCAGAAAGACAGAGAGACAGAGAGAAATAGAGAGGGAAAGACAGAGAGAGAGAACACCACAGTTGCTTTAAGATGTGTATTAATTCTCTGGATAGCAAAGTACAAAGCCAGAAATACAGTGTCTGCAACAAAATCCTGAGGGGAAAATAGCAAAGAATTACCTGATGCAACAGATTCAGAGGATGAAGCTGCATTTTTTTCCCTCATAAATACAGGTCCATGATTTAGTATTTCCTAAAGGTTGAATATGAGCTGTCAGCAGAGAGATGGCTCTAGAGAATAATTAGCTCTATGTGGTGAGCAGGCTGCAAGCTGCCTGCCCTGGTCAGCATTCACTGCTTGTGGCAGAGTGTCAGGCACATACACACGAGATTCATCCAAAACTAGCTCCTCTGATCCCACAGCTAGCTGGAAGATATGGAATAGTCTCGAATAAACCTCCACGTGCACAAATACAAACTTCTATGTCCACCCATACATAGAACTTCTAGAGGTAAAACCATCCAGATGTTCACTGCTTTCCAGAGACAAAAAATGCAACCAGTGCTAGGAATGCACATAAAGTCTTGTTCAGAGAAATGTTGATCCTTTCACACTTCAATCCTCACCATGCAGCAACAGTTTCTTTATCTGACTTCGTCGCCTCTCTCCAAACACAGTAGTTATCAGCTCTGAGAAGTCAAGAGGGCAGCTCCTCACAGAACCCATAAGAATGAGCAATTAAAACAATTGTATAACAAACTATTCTAGAAATAATAATTAAATTTCCCCCTGAGTCATAAGGTTTGGGAGCCAAAAGTTTCTTCTGACCTCTCTAAATAAAAAAGGAGTTTCTGTTACAGGTTGCTGAAGAAAGTGTTCTGACAAATATACTAAAGATTTCTGCTGAAGTGATTTGAGTTGGCAATGCAGCCCATTCCTTATTATTTTCTTTTCTCATTTCATACCCAGACAAGATAACCAAAGCATAAAACCTTCAAGTAAATTTTCTAAAGCACATGGCACTAACAAAATTTCAACAGAAGCAGTTTAGAAGCCGAGTGTTTTTGGAAAATCCCATTTTCCTGATGCAAGATGAAGTTTCCCATTACTAGGGATTGCTGCAGCTTAATAAGAATAAGTGCTACATCTCTAGAAACCACAACATAACCAGTGAATGGCTAAAATGCCTCTTTACTCCTAACCTGTGAGCTACTGTTCAGGCTCCCATCAATCTCGGGGGTGTTTTTCTCCCCCTCCCCACCCCCCAGCAACTGAACAGGGAAAACTTTTTTGTTTTGCAAAGTCTTGTTTTGCAGAGGTGACAAATTTGCTCTGTTCTTTTGTTCCCTTTTGGGAGTTCTGTGCCTATTTCAAATGATGAAATCCTTCCTTTGTATCCCTCAGCCACTGGAACAGAAGCCACACGATGCTGATACCTTTTAGAAAGACAATGCACTCGGAAGGAGGATGGGTACTGCCATCACCTACCCAGTTGCCTACCATGGAGAAACCAAGGCAGGGAGAGGATTGGAAGCACAAGACAGAACAGTGCACTGCTGGAAGAGCTCCAACTGGCTGTTAGTCCCTGCTTCAGGGCATCTTCCTTGTCCAAAAGCAAGGAAGAAGTCATATGGAAGCAGTGGTTTTAAGAAGCTCACTGCAGACCTCAAGAGCAGGAGGATGTTTTGAGAATAAATCATATCATCAATAAGTAAAGGGAATTTGTTTTCTCCTCTTATGCTTACTCCATGCTTTATATATGGATATTTTGAATTACATAGGAATTCACTACTAACACTGACTTTCCAGAATGCTGGAAACTCATGGATTTTGCTGGAACATGTTCAGTAGTGAGGCCATTAAACATCCCTGCAGTGCACAGATTTGCTCAACCACTGGCCTCAGACACTTGAGAACCTCTAGAACAGAAACAGGCACTGAGATCTGTTAAAATAATGCCACTTCAAGCAAAAATAGTTGCTTCAACTACCAGGTTGGAGAAGTCACCAGCAATTCACTTTCAAAGGATTAGAATTCTATTAAAACCCTTCACTGGTTTGGCCTGGACAGATTGAAAACAAAGCCAGGAGAGCGATTACCTTTTGCACATGGCAGGACATCGCTGACTGCAACAGTCACTCACAAGAGAAGAAACAATCCCACCCAGGTAGGATTCATGAAAAATTTTTACTAAGAGAGCATTTGGAAATCACGCATCTTACGAAATTACAAAGTCCTAAATAAATTAATTCCTAAGTCTTTAATACAATATAAACTTCTATTTAATGGAACAAGCTGTATTACATATCTACACAGACAACACTTTTTTTTTTTTTCAAACAAGAGCTACAACTAAAACTAACTGCAAAAATGTCCAGAGAAATGGTTTCATATTAAACTGTTCCAGGAGAAACGGACCTAACACTTTTATTTCAAACAAGAGTTACAATAAAACTAACTACAAAAATGTCCAGGGAAATAGTTTCAAACTGTTCCAGGAGAAATGGACCTAACATTTATTTTTCAAACAAGAGCTACAATTAAAACTAAGTACAAAAATGTCCAGAGAAAGGGTTTCATATTAAACTGCTCCAGGAGAAATGGACCTAACACTTATTATACTCATATATATTACTCATACATTACTTTTATATATATTATTATATATTATATATATTACTACTGTATTATTTTATATTAATATATTATATATTACTACTATATTACTTTCTATTAATTAAAATCATTAAATATTTTAAAAATATAAATGTATATTAAGCATATTAACTATATATTACTTATATTACTATCATGTACTACTACAATATGCCATTATTATTATATAACAACATATCATCAAGAGTGATCTACATGGTGGATTGAAGCTGGTTCCATATTTTAACATTAAGCAGTCACAGCATTGCAAACCCATCACAAAAGTCTTTATTTCAAAGTTTCAGTTTAATTTAGGAATCCACACGAGCTCTTTTCCTTGGACGTGCCCTCTCCTCTTCATCATCATCATCCGGAAAACTAAATTTTTCAAACAGACCTTTCTGGCGGTTGGGAAAAAAAGAAAAAAAGAAATTTCTCACATTAAAAAAAAATAAACAAATGAACAACTGTAATACACAACCCCCAGCCAACCTGTGCAAGACACATAAACCTGCCAGTAGAAAGTTTCTTAACTATGCCTTTTGCATTCTAAGACCCTTTTGTCTGGAGAGTGCTTTTGAACCTCAACTGGAGCTTCCTTGCTCATCTGATCTGACCACAGAATTGTTTCAAAATCACTTTGTAAATTCCCAGCTGCAAATGCACAGATCCAAAGTGCAGTTCTGCAGAAGAGGCAAGATTAACCTGTGCCCAACAGATTACCAACAGCCTCCAGACCCACCTAAGCCTTCCTTTAACCTTCCCCCAGATTGGTCAGGGTTTCACCAGGCAGGGATTTGGCCGAGTTTATCCCTAACTCAGACACCCTGCCCACAGGCCATTGCTGACCGTGCCATGTTATACCCGCCAAAGCCCCATGAGGCTGCTGCGCTGCCCTACACGAGGGCAGCAGCTTCCACAAGAGTTCCTCACCTTGACAGGTGGCATCACTCTGGTCAGGGGCATGGATGTTGTACTGGAGACATCAGAGCTTTGTGTTGGAGCTGCCTCCTCTTCAACTTTACTGTCCATTGGTTCTTCTTCCACCTCAGAGACTCTTTCATCTCTGACAAATGCCTTGCCAGGCAACACGGAGGGGACACTGCAAGAGACACACGACAAGTGATTTGAGCTTTGTCTGATGTTTCACACTCAGCCAAGGTCACAAATGGCTTCCACAGCTTTTGAGGGAATTTTATGAATGGAGTTTTCTGAAAGGAGCTGTTAATCTAGTGACCCATAGCAGCTCTAGTACATGAGGTCACAAGAAAAGGCAGATGAGGGTTTGGTGTAATCCAAGAGGGTTTCCAGTAAGAATGAAATACACCCCAATCCCAACCACCTTCTACTCCTGCCCTTCTGGAAAAAAACCCAAACAACCAGCAGTCTTGTGCAATGGCAGTCACTGGCAGTCTCAGAAGAGAGAATTTGGGCCATACCTATTCAGTGTCTGGCTATGACAGCTCTTTTCTTGCTTGTATTTTGCCTTCAGTCTCTGGAATGTGCTAACATATCGGATAGAGTCCAGTTTAGCAGAGAAGTTCTCAACTAGATGTTTAATAAGGGACTGGATGTCTTCCTGCAGAAGAACAAAACAGGGTTGTAGTCTCTCTCCTATGTTCACATTCAGAAGATGAGAAAGTTTTTGAGCTTCGTTTGGAAAGTAACTAAGCCCTTCTCCAGAGTCAAAACATCCTTCTCAAGAACAAATGGGAAACAATCAGATTTATCCTTAATAAAAAAGCTGAGATCTAGAAAGAATTATTGAACTTCCCTTAGAAACAGAGAAGAGACTCAGCAGTGTCCCAGTTCTACTTCCAGCAAACCAGGAGGTTTCCTATCTGGGAGAGCTGCCTTTTGCCTCTCAACACTGAGAGGCCAAGGCTGTGTCAGTGCTGAGGCTGCTGCTGAACTTACCATCAGGATGAATTCAAACAGCTCCAGCAAGGCAGAGTTGAACAAGTTGGACCTATCCCCATTGTCCAGCAGAGCATTTACAACCGGCTCAAAGAGGTTATTCTGGATGATGTAACGGTTGTAAACATCGTTTTTCAAGGCAATCATCCTCCTCATAAAGCGAAGAGCAGCTGTGTGAAAAGACACATTCAAGCAGTTAATAACTCCATGCCAAGGCTCCAATCTACTTCTTGGGGAAGAACTCAAAATCCTGGTGTTATCCTAAGAGGAAGATGCACACCCTAAGCAAGAGCATTAAGAAGCACCTGGGGACAAGTGCGGACCCAGCATTTGCTGACAGGTCTCTTTTCTATCCTTCTTGGACTTTGCTGGGTATTTGAAGATCATGAGGGACCACTGCTCTCTTTTTCAAGTCCATTCACTTCAGCATGTGTGAAGTTCAAATGTTCACTCCCTCCTCTGCTCTTCTCTGCTTCCCTCCCAGAACCAGGCCCAAGTCTTTAATTATCCTGCTTCACACAATTTCATTCCCTCTCCACAAGGAGCACCAGATTCAGGACCTTCTGAAAGAAGGACAAGACTTCCATGGAAATAAGGAAAGACACCTGATCACAAAGGATCCTCACTGTCAGGAAGACTTGAAAGGGTCCCTGAGGACTTCAAAAGAGACCACAATCCTCCTCCCACCACAAACTGCAGTAGTCTACACTCATGGACAGCTGCTACCTTGCTTTCCAAATTACTTAATGGTAGCCAGGAAAAGACAGGAAATCAACAGGAATTCTGAGCTCAGGTGTAGACACTGATACTGGTGCACCTTGCACAGAGGACACACAAAGCCCTCAAGAAGGAAACCACAACAGCTCCATACTCACCCAAGGCCAGAAATCTGTGCTTGGATTTCAACAATAGCAGGACTCTTCTTAGCAGATCTTCACTTGTAACATACCTCTTCATGTGATATCTGTGCCGTTGCATACAAAAAGTTAGCACGTCCAGAACTAAAGCAAGTGTTTCTGCTCTTTGATAATCTACAGGAAAAAGGGAAAATATTCAGTTATACCAAAGAAAGAAATAGTGCTCTGTCATACACAGTGAGCTCACTTGTTATTAAAGTTTCCGATGCATTTTTAGTGGATTTTTGATTTACTGGATTGCTATAGAAAGCAGCGTGTAGGGTCAAAAAAAACAACCAACACAACTGTGGCTTTTTTCCCATTACAGCCAATATTCTTTAAAATCAGACTAGAAAAACTCCTACATGACCCACAATAGCGATCAAGAAAGTGCATCTGTGCAAAGCACATCATCAAGCTACACAAGCATTCACAGCTGCAAGGGAGAAAACTTAAAATTGTCATTACCTTTGTCATAGGAATTTTCTGATGTATCAGCCAGAAGTGGTGCAGTAAGAACTTGAATGCAACGGTCGTAGAAGAAATCGAGATACTGAAATAATTCTAAATTCTAAAACAATAGTAACTGCATTAAACTCTGTCAATCACATACAGTCATTTAAATATGAAAGAATAGGAACAGAAGAAATAGCCCAGGAAGAGTTTTACTGACTCCCTCAGTTCTGTCTGCATCTTTTATTTAGACCTGCAGCACTGTCTTCACTCAAGCAAGACTGACTTATTTATTTGGAGCAAAATCTGTGAGACGTCCAACCAACGTAGCTATCACCAAAAGGCTCCCCAGCATGGATGCAACTAGAAATGCATCAAGTGCAGAAACTCCTCAGTGACTCAAAGGGCTTGACAAAGTGACCTTAACCCACTCTGACATGCAGTTCCTTTTGCCACAACAACCTGCAAACCTTTTGACTGCTATTCTGGGACATTACAATCTATGAAAACATTGATTTGGTTTCACACAGACTCGACTGGACTCCCTCAGAGTTTGTCATCCAGCTCGAGGGAGCTACAGTCACACAGTGCTCTGGCACTGCCACAGGGGACTGCTTGGCTTAGTGCCTGCACAGTGCCCCAGACACACACCTTTCATTAGCCAAATTCACTTCTGTTGTGCTTATTTAAACTCACTATCAGATCACACTCCAAACAATAAAAAAACCCTGAAATTGTTGACCCTCTGCCCCTCATAATAGCAATAGAGACCCTCAGGCTTTTAGCTTTGCTGAGACAGTGATGTGTATTTGGCCCTTCATGTTCACTTACACTAATACGATGCCGCATATTCTCTGGATCAATCAGAATATACAAAATCTTCTTTAGCTGACTATCTCCTCCAAGTCCAGGGTCGGAATTGTTGATCAGCTGCTCAATGATCACAGTGAGGAGCGGGTTGTTCTGCAAAAAACAAACAACTAAGCAAGAAAACGCAAAATAAGTACTAGCAGGAACGGAATGAGCTCCCCAAATTCTGCAATTTTTTTTTAAATAAAAAATTAAATGAACAGATAATTGAAACTTTGCCTCATTATTTCCCCCTTTGCCCTAAAACTAGTATGTTTACAATCTCCAAACCACTTTTACTTACATTGTCAATCTGACGGGCCTCTTTCAGTATAAAGCCGTGGACCTTGAATGGATGAAAGTATCCTATATAAGACAATATATCTGTAGCACCGGATCTAACTTGCAGATCATTCATTCCCTAAAACAATGAGATTAATTCATTAGAGTGTATCAAGTTGGCTATTTACAGGATCAAGTGAAACTGCAAAGAAGAGGCACTTAGAAGTCTGGACAATGTTTCGTTACCAAAGTTTCTAAGAGGAGAAACAGTAAAATACTTACAGAAAAAAAACAAGCAACCAGACTTTTGCCACTCTTTCCCTCCTTCAGAAAGGACACAAGGCTTTCTGGGAACTTGAGAGCCCAACTTTAGGCCACAAACATTCACATCGCCCTACTTACTACAAGATCTCAGACACTGATCTTCCCTACCTCTTATCCACAATTTATTCACTTGGTACAAAAGGACCAGCTGTACAAATCAAGGTTTACAACAATTTCTGTGCTCATTTACAAGCCACAGGAATTCAGACAGCATTGTGTCTGACAAAAAAACAATCAAGCTGCCACAACAAGAAGAGTCTCCCTCAAGGCTCACACCACCTTGTCACAAGGACTGCACTGCCCACAGACTTCTCCATCATGTAGAGTAAAAACAGGAAGAGCAATCAACCAAAGGCTGCTCCAGAGTGGAACTGTGGGCAGCTTTTGGAGGCAGAACATTACAAGGAACTTCCACTCTCAGCAGACAAAAGTCTCTCCAATCAGACTTACAAGAAGAAGTTTCAAAACTCTGGTGAAATGGCTGAGAGCTTTTCTAGTTTTAATAAAATCAGCTGTGAGTTTTCACTTACCATTAACCTTTTGAGAGTTGGAAGAATTTTAAACTTTGACAAAGTGCTGAGAAATTCACGTCTATTCTCAGGTAACGCAAAAGAAAAGGCAAAGAATTCCCGGAAAAACTTCACCTAGTGCACAAATAAAAAAATAAGGTCAGGTTTCTTTGAGTCAGAAAAGTCTTGGAAAGGAGGACACAGTTCCAGTTTGTGTTCGAGGGAGGGTGTCCAGGCTGATTCTCCAGAAACACCCACAAGTCTGAAGAACTAGCAGAACAGTTTCACTATTTGTGTTTCATCTCTCTCATTTAAAGCATTCAAGGAAACACCGAGACTACCGGCTTACCAATTCACGTAGTTCCTCATCAGCTGTAGCTTCATCATTCAATTTTGCAAAAATTCCAGAGAAAAATATCTCATCTTTCTGCAGAACACACAAAAAGAACACAACTTACACAGTGCCTCTGGAGAATCAACAGAAATCTTGTCTACAATCCTCCACTGAACAAAGTCAAACGCTTTTCATAAATAACTCCATTACTTTTATCCCCTAGAAGGCAAATGCCAGAGTACTCATCCAGCAGGATCATTTCCAGTGTACTGTTTCAGCACTCCCCGTGTGCAGCACAAGCAGCTCTGGGAGATCAGAGCCACAGGTGAACCTGAGCACACGAGACAATCCTAAAACTGACCCCTGAGTTCGTCTCTACAGAGAGTGGCACTTCCTTTCCTTCTGTGCCATTTCACTCCAGGGCTTTGCAGCTCTTCTCACCAACAGACAATATTGACCTTGCTGCAACCACTCTGTTCACACTACACTGGGAACATCCCCCAGGGATCAGTTTCCCTCTTTGGGATCTGCAGCACTGCAAGGCATCTTTTCAGTCCACCTCTGTAAGGGGGAGGAGATGAACAGGTTACGAGTTGGCTGCAGCCACATCCTCCTTAACCTTATTCACAATAAAACCAGCTCTCCCACTTACAGGAGCTCTGCTTTGACAACATAGGAAAGTTGGGGGACTATGCTTTGCTTCTCAGATTCACATCCTCTACTGCCAAGGCTTCCTTAAGGATATATAGCAATGGATTTTACTTCTTGTAAAGCATTTGGGTTACCCTGTTGCTTCAGACTCCAAGCAAACGAGGGGGAACATCAGCACCTCTCAAGTGTTTGGGTGCTTTCTGCCCTCTCTGCTCATCCATTTCTTTGCACCCCTTCACACGGAAAACAGTGTAACAAATGCCCCTGATAAAGTATACAAATGTTGCTTGTTCCCAAAATACCTAGACAAAACCAGTTCCAAAGGTGTATGTTTCTTGGCACTCACAGAGAAAGACTTGAAACACTTTACAATCCATTAAAAAGGGTTAAGATACTCACTTGAAATCTACCTTTTTGAAAGTACAGAATCCAAGGCAATAGAAAGAAAGGGAAGCATTCAAACATTGTGCAAATGAAAGGGATTAACTTAGACAGTGTTCACCAACTGTAACCCATTTCCAAACTGCAGCCAGAAGGATCTATACAGATCCCACCTAGGCCACACTGAAACCCACTTACCTGCAACACTTTTAAAATCTCCTCTTCGCTGCGTCTGATGAATGCAGTGAGGGTAGAAAGAAAACTCTCTTCAAAACCAGGTGAATTCCGTGAGATGATGGAACGAATATAGTCTGTGCTCGACGTCTGGCGGACTTTGTGCCTGATTTCACACTCTCTTATAGGAAGAACTTCCTGACGCTTGGCTGTTTTCATCAAGAACTCCCTATGTCTTGCTGGTTGAGCCAAAGACGGATCATATTCAAGGCATCCAGCAACATCCAGAATGCAATCATCAGAAAACATCACCTCAAACACAACTTCTTCATCCAGGTACAAAATTCCTCTCACAATGTGAAATAGAAGATGCAAGCTTTCGGTGTCCTTTACATTCTCACAGACTTGGAAAAGCTGCAGCAGTTTGGGAATATAGCCTTCCTCTTTCAAGGCCAGGGCTAGCTTTTCCTTATCGACGCGTGAGCGGCCAACAGAACTCACCAGGTCTGCCATCTCTTCAAGTCTGGGGAGTTCACAGCTGGGAAGCTCCATCGAGGGAATACTTGCACTCATTTCTTCAGCTCTTCCTCTTCCAACTCAAGAAGGTCCCGGGCGACTTCCACCCAACAACGCCAATGCCAAAAAAAGGCAACAGGAGGGAAGCAAGACAGGAGCACACGCTGCAGTGACCTGCCACTGCGCTGGCCTCCGCTGCTCTGCCCCTCCAACTGCCACAGGTATTCCAAGGCCTTATGGTGTCACCTGGACCTGAGCCTTCTGATTGGTCCATCCCTCAACATTCTGGATCCCTGGGCTCATGCCAGCCAACGGCCACAGCCAACCGACTCCTTCTCGTTGCTGACCTTTTAGGAGTTCTACAGGAACTCCCAGTACCTTCAGGGGCTCTGTAAGGGGGCTGGAGAGGGACTTCTCCAAGGCAGGCAGGAACAGGGGGAATGACCTCAAGCTTTTTTTATTAGATATTGGGAAGAAATTCTGGACTGTGAGGGTAGTGAGACACTGACACAGATTGCCCAGAGGAGCTGTGGGTTCCCCATCCCTGGAGGTGTTCAAGGCCAGGCTGGATGGGGCTCTGAGCAACGTGGTTTAGTGGAAGGTGTCCCTGCCCATGGCAGCAGAGTTGGGACCAGAGGAGCTTTCAGGTCCCTTCCAAACCTAACTGTCACTGAGTTGCCATCACACAAATGTAGTGGGACACTTCCACAGCTGGAGCACTGCAACTGAGGGCTACAAGCCCTCAGTTCAGAAGAGGGAAGCTAAGAAGGTGGTGCGAGCAGGATGGGGATTTCAGTGTTAGGAAACTGCCCTCTAGGAGCATCCTGGAGCCACTCTGGCAGACACTCTTGTGCCACCTTGCTTCTACCTGAGCTGGGACCAAATCATCTTTCCAGCAACACACCCCACACTCACAGAGTCAGACCAGGTTTCCTTACCAGCTCAATCCCGGGTTTCCCATAGCAGAGTCACAGATCTCTCGGTCCGCAAAATAATTTGGTCATGGTGCAATAACAAAGTAACAGCTGGAGCTGGGTGCCTCCAGCCAGGGACCCAGGACAAAGGAAAACCTTTAGAAATCAGATGGCAATGAACAGGCCCAGTCTTTCCCCACTTCGGGTGTGGCCCACCTTCTTCTACCCATGGCAAAATGCATCTGAAACATGCATGGAATAAGTCCTGTGGGAAACAAAGCAGAGAATTTTGTGGAGGCCTTTGGAAAAGTGGAAGCCCTGCACAGGCATAAGTTTTGATACTTTTGCTGGCCAGCATCTTTCTGATAGAGAAGTTTTACAGGAAAATGTTCATTCTTTTTTACCAAAATTAATCAGGACAGAAGTCAGTTTTGAGGAATATCTCATTTGGACTTCAGGCTGTGAGGTTTCCTTTTATATTTCTGATACTCTGCTTCCTTTCTCCTTTGAAAGCATTTTTTTAAGAAAAGAGAAATAGATGTTAGTAATGAGAGAGAGAAGAATTAAAATGTTACAAGCCTAGACATATTATTTTTTAATTTTCATTTTATGAAAATGCTCAGCAGTGAATTTTCATCTCAATTCAAACTTCATAGAATCAAGAAAACTGTTTCTACCTCCTCTCTTAATAAAGAATGTGCAGAAGTACTTCACAGAATATGAATTGAAGAGTATTTTGTCTCCAAAGAAACAGAGATGTGTCTTTCCATTTGCGTGAAAAAAAAAAAAAAAAAAAGAAGTGATGAAACAATTTTGTGAAAAACATCCACATCCAATAGAAAAGAAAGGACTCTTTTGAAAGATTGGCTAAAATTTACGGGTCTCAGCTATGAAGGGACAGTTTCGAAACCAAGTATTATATTAGCTAGGAAAAATTCCCACTTTTTAAAATGCTAGTTCTGTAAAGATCAGCTCAGCTCCATTCACAGAGATGGTATCCTGCAGGCAGCTGCTCTCATAAATTGGTGAATGATTTCTTACCTTTCCGTGATCCTCAGAGAGACACGGTTCACAAATATGACACAGACCTGTCCCACTACTCTGGAGAGCATTAACCTGACTCTGGGTAACTCCAGCACACCCTGAATCCCACTGATTGTCACAAGTGGGACATCTAAATTTCTAAATTTCTCTGTTGTTTTTTAAATCAATGGCATTAAGTGCCTGAGGAACATACATGCTTTGGAAAACAGTAAACAAATATGAAGGATTTACACTAGAACCATTCACAGGTACCCAGGCATTGGAAAAGGCAGTTCCCAATGAGGCACAGCCTGCTCATTCCCTGCTCTGTGCCAGGCGTGATCGGGAAGGAAGAGCTGCTTAGTGCAAGGGAGATGTTGCTTTTGCAAACCCATTTTTCTCTGCCAGCATTCAGGCCTCAAAACACTGTTTAAATCCACATCACCACAACCCAGAGCAGAGACACAGGGAAAGAAGCATTCCTGGGCCATATCGCTTGTTCTGAGGGAGGCACAACATGAAACATAGAATGATGCACAAAGATGTATTTCATGCAGGTAGAGGTCAAAATTTAAAAGGTACTTCAGCAGCCCAGGTGCAAGACAGTTTCTGATCTTTCCATTCCCAAGTACCTGTTTACTGTAATTTCTCAGTCTGTTCCGTTCACTATGCTGGTGCTCCTGCCTTCTGGGACATCACGGACTGCTCCATGCACCAGAGTAAAATGCATAATCAGTGAACTAAAGAATGGAAGTGGCTTCTTCAGAGTCCATTTACCAGTTCTTAAATGTATTAAGAGTTAGGAACTGTTCTCGAATGGAAACCAAGAGTACCATCTCCCCCGTAGTGCCATTACAAACAACACACTGGTAGCAACAACAGAGAAATATACCACTAAAACCAAAATTTTAGAAACCAAGGTCAGTTTGTCCTGAGCAGAGGATATTCTCTCTATTCAGTGGTCAAACCCTTATTTTATTCTCCGCTTGATCCTCTCCAACCAGATTTCAAGCAGGGCTGATGTGTCTCCTGCTGGAATGGGGAAGTGAAAAATACCAACTCTGAATATTCTCAGTATTTTGGAGGGTATCATAAAGAAAAACCATGAAAAGGCTTTACACATCTAATAAGAATATATTCCTCATGTACTATAGTACATGGGTTGTATTGTTACTGTTACAATTAATCTTTCTCACTGAGAATAAGAAATTCCAACAAACCACAAATTCCAGCCTCAAAAAATCCTTTCTATTCCCCTCTTTTTAGTCATTGTGACTAAACATCTTGACACTGAACTCCTTATTGATGAAATATGATACATCTAAAGTTTTGGGTTTTTGCAGAATTATAACACAACAGAAAAAGAACAAGAGGGCAAATACTGGACTGGGTGCCCAGAGAGCTTCACCTCTCCCCAGGCCTTTGGGACTGCTTTAATGCTCAGTGCACTGAGGAAAAAAACCCTCTCACTCCAGTCTAGCAAAACTGCAAGGGCAAAAACCTATGGCAGGACTGGGTAAGACTTGCAAAGCTCGTTATTTTGTACTGTCACAGTGCAGTCAATGCATTTTATGACACAAGATAGAACATGTCAAGAGAGGGGTTCCCTTTTGCACGTGGCAGGACATGGCTGGCTGCAACAGAAGAAGAGAAGAAAAAATCCCACCAAGTCAGGTTTCGTGAAAAAAATTTATTAAAAGAACATTTGGAAATAACACATCTCATGAAATTACAGAATCCTAAATCAATAAATTCCTAAATCATTAATACAAAATAAACTTCTATCTTATGGAACAAACTATATTAGATATCATAACTAACAACCATTTTTGTTTTTCAAACAAGAGCTACAACTACTACTAACTACAAAAATGTCCAAACCAGAAAAATGGCGTCACATTGAACTGTTCCAGGAAAAATGGCTCTAAATTATATTATCATTATATCTTACTAATATATCTAACATATATCTTATATATCTTACTTATATATCTTACTGATATAACTTATACAAATTATTATATATTACTATTATATTTATATATATAAAACCTTTTTATATCTATTTTATGCTATAAAATATACTATATTACTTTTTAGGAATTATATTAACTATATATCACATTATATTATATAACTAACATATTTATAACTCTCCTACATTATTATTATATAATAACATCTCATCAAGAGTGATCTGCATGGTGGATTGCAGCTGGTTCCATACTTCAACGTTAAACACTCACAGCACTGCAACCCCAACATAAAAGTTCTTATTCCAAAGTTTCCGTTTCCTTTAGGAATCCACACGAGCTCTTTTCCTTGGAGGTGCCTCTTTCTCATCATCCTCATCACTCTCATCAGGAAAACTAAAGATTTCAAATAGGCCTCTCTGCCAATTGGAAAAAGAGAAAGAAATTAATTTCTCAGACTCAAAGGAACAGGAATGAGCAGTTGTTGTACACAACCCCCAGACAACCTGTGCGGGACCAACAAGCCCTGCAGCAGCAGGTTTCTGGGTGATGCCTTTTGCATTCCAAGACCCTTTTGTCTGGAGAGTGGGTTTGAGCCTCAACTGGAGCTTCCCTGCTCCCCTGGATCTGGCCACACAATTGTTTCAAAGCCACTTTGGAAGGTCCCAGCTGGACAGCCACAAATCCATCATGCAAGCTGCACATCCCTTTTGCTCCTAAGTCTTAGGGGTGGGCAAGAAATTTCTTGCACACACTCTTCTATAGCTGCTCAGCAGCTTGTGGGCTAAAGACTGGAATAATCCTTGGCTTTGTAAGGCACAACAGAGGTGTCACTTCCTGCATGTCATCGGCTTAAAAACACGTTTTAATTGCCCAATGGGGGGACAGTAGCATAGATCCCCCCAAAAAATACAGTCCCACCTGTGTATCACACACACACAGAGCACAAACTGGGCAGGGAAAGCAGCCAAGGAGTGGCAATAGTCCAATTCAGCAGAAGAAGCAAGATTAACCTGTGCCCAAAAGATTACCAACAGCCTCCAGCCCCACCTAAGTCTTCCCTTAACCTTCCTCCAGATTGGTCAGGCTTTCACCAGGCAGGGATTTGGCCGAGTTTATTCCTAACTCAGACACCCTGCCCACAGGCCATTGCTGACCGTGCCGTGTTACACCCGCCAAAGCCCCATGAGGCTGCTGCGCTGCCCTACACGAGGGCAGTAGCTTCCACAAGAGTTCCTCACCTTGACAGGTGACATCACTCTGGCCAGGGGCGTGGATGTTGTACTGGGGACACCGGAGCTTTGTGTCGGAGCTGCCTCCTCTTCAACTTCACCGCCCTGCGGTTTTTCTTCCGCCTCAGAGACTCTTTCATCTCGGACAAATGCCTTGCCAGGCAACACGGAGGGGACACTGTAAGAGACACAGGACAAGTGATTTGAGCTTTGCCTGATCTTGCAGACTCAGCCAAGGTCAAAAATGGCTTCCAGACCATCCATGGGAATTCAGCATGTTGCAGAAGGCAATCCATCTCCAGTACCACCCTCACTGTAAACTTCACCCACATCCCAGCTGACAAGGAGGCAAACAGAATCCTAACTTGGAGGAAATGAGCAAGATTCTGCTCTGCATAAGCTGAGACTTTT